GATACTTAACTTAAGGAAATAGATTCAATATGTGTAATGACCCAGCCACTCCCAGTCTCTATTCAAACCCAAGTTAATGGTATCTAGTTTGCATATTAAATCAAGCTCAGCAGTTTCTCATTGGAGTCTGTTTTTGAAGCTTTTCTGTTGCAAAATTGCCATCCTTAAATCTTTTACTGAGTGGCCAGAAAGGTTGAAGTGATCTCCTACGGGTTTTTGAATGTTATGATTCCTGATGTCAGATTTGTGTCCATTTATTCTTTTGCTTAGAGGCTGTCCGGTTTGGCCAATGTACATGGCAGAGGGGCATTGCTGGCACATGATGGCATATATCACATTGGTAGATGTGCAGGTGAACGAGCCTCTGATAGTGTGGCTGATGTGATTAGATCCTATGATGGTGTCACTTGAATAAATATGTGGACACAGTTGGCATCGGGTTTTGTTGCAAGGATAGGTTCCTGGGTTAGTGTTTTTGTTGTGTGGTGTGTGGTTGCTGGTGAATATTTGCTTCAGGTTGGGGGGCTGTCTGTAAGTGAGGACTGGTCTGGCTCCCAAGATCTGTGAGAGTGAGGGATCATTTTTCAGGATAGATTGTAAATCTTTGATGATGAGCTGTAGAGGTTTTAGTTGGGAGCTGAAGGTGACAGCTAGTGGCGTTCTGTTATTTTCTTTGTTGGGCCTGTCCTATAGTAGGTGACTTCTGGGTACTCTTCTGGCTCTGTCAATCTGTTTTTTCACTTCAGCAGGTGGGTATTGTAGTTGTAAGAATGCTTGATAGAGATCTTGTAGGTGTTTGTCTCTGTCTGAGGGATTGGAGCAAATGCGGTTATATCTTAGAGCTTGGCTGTAGACAATGGATCGTGTGGTGTGTCCTGGATTGAAGCTGCAGGCATGCAGGTAAGTATAGTGGTCAGTAGGTTTCCGGTTTAGGGTGGTGTTTATGTGACCATCACTTATTAGCACAGTAGTGTCCAGGAAATGGACGGCTTGTGTGGATTGGTCTAGGCTGAGGTTGATGGTGGGATGGAAATTGTTGAAATCATGGTGGAATTCCTCAAGAGCTTCTTTTCCACGGGTCCAGATGATGAAGATGTCATCAGTGTAGCACAAGTAGAGTAGGAGTGTTTGGGGCTGACAGCTAAGGAAGCGTTGTTCTAAGTCAGCCATAAAAATGTTAGCATACTGTGGGGCCATGTGGGTACCCATAGCAGTGCTGCTGACTTGAAGTATATATTGTCCCCAAATGTGAAATAGTTGTGGGTGAGGACAAAGTCACAAATTTCAGCCATCAGTTTTGCCGTGCATTATCGGGAAACACCATCGGTTCAAATCACAACAGACAGCTCCGTGATCGGATGGGGGGCCCCCCTGAAACAATATACTGCCCTGGGCAAATGGTTACCAATAGAGACGCACCTTCTCATAAACCTACTGGAACTACACACGGTCCACAGTGCATGCTACCGCTTCCTTCCACTCATAAGAAACAGAATGATAAGGATATTAACAGACAACATTGCTTGCATGTTCTATATCAACCTCCAGGGTGGAGTGTGATCCCACTCATTATGTGTGGAAGCTCTAAAGTTATGGAACTGGGAAAGTATAACATCACTATAACAGCTTCATATCTACCAGGCTGTCTGAATATCATGGCGGACACACTAAGCAGACAGTTCTCCCAAGAACACGAATGGGAACTGAATGACAAAATGACACAACTCATCTTCGGAGGTGGGGAAATTCATCCATAGACCTATTTGCCACACAAGCAAACAATAAATGCCCAGGATTCTCCTCATAAGAAGGACAGGGAACACAATCACTGGGAGACATGTTCCTGATAAAATGGAACGCCCATCTCTTATATGCTTTCCCTCCAATTCCTCTAATCTCCAGAGTCATACACAAAATACAAACCGACAGGGCCAAGATAATCCTCATAGTGTCAACATGGCCCAGACAGACTTTGTTCCCTTATCTGAATCGCATGGCAATATGCACTCCATTCAGTATCCCTTGATGACGTGATCTCCTCTCACAGGACAACGCATAAGTCCTCCATCCCAATCCAGGGAAAATCACCTCAGAGCATGACTCCTTCATGGCTCTGAGGGAACGAATTAACTTGTTCGGATCAAATACAACAGCTACTGATTAACAGCAGGAAACAAAACACATGACATACATACCCCTAAAAATGGAAGAGATTTTCCATTTGGTGTCAAAACAAACAAATATCAGCAAACCAAACCCCACTCCCATTGATCGTGGAGTACCTACTATCATTAAATAAATCAGAACTGGCTACAAACTCGATCAAGGTCAACCTCGCGGCAATAACCGCCTTCCACCAACAGATAGAAGGGACATCAGTATTCGCCTGCCTGATCACAAAGAGATTCATAACGGGCCTACAAAACATGTACCCGGACATTTGTGAACCTACTCCGGCATGGGACTTAAACCTAGTGCTCAAATGCTTAACCAGAAAACCATTGAAACCCTTAGCATCTTGCTCTATGCTCCATTTATCAATGAAAGTAATATTCTTAATAGCCATCACATCGGCACAAAGAGAGAGTGAGTGAGATTGGGGCGCTCATGGCTCACCCCTCATACACAATATTCCACAAGGACAAAGTGACTCTGAGGACTCACCCAAAATTCATGTCCAAAATATCGTCCTCATTCCACCTTAACCAGCCAATTCACCTACCCACTTTCCGCCCTAACCCACACAACAACCCACTAGAGGCGGCATTACACACATTAGATGTCTGTCACGCCTTGGCCTTTTACCTAGACAGCACAAAGACCTTTTGTAAGTCCCCCAGACTGTTCGTATCAACAACAGAAATGTCAAAAGGCCCAGCTATATCAGCACAAAGACTATTGAAGTGGATATCAAACTGCATCCACTTGTGCTACTCCTTATGAAACACTGAAGCCCCAACAGGCACCAGAACACACTTGACAAGGGCTGTAGCAACTTCTACAGCATTCCTGCACAACGTGCCCATCCTTGACAAATGCAGAGCAACTACAAGGGCATCCGAACATACTTTCACCAATCATTATGCAATCATGCTTAGCTCAAGCGCAGACACTAAATTAGGCTGTAGAGTCCTAGCAGCAGCTACACAATCAACTCCAAAGTCCCTTCCGTCTGCATGAGGGCACTGCAATACATTCTCATGAAGTGGAGCACCCACAGGGACTCCACTCGATGAAGAAGAGAAGGTTACTCACCTTGTGCAATAACTGAGGTTCTTTGAGATGTATGTCTCTGTTTGTTGCTCCACTACCCACCCTCCTCCCCTCTACTTTGGAGTAAGAATCAACTGCTCCAGGGTAGAGAAGGAACTGAGGGGGTCGGCATGTGTGCATGCCAGAAGAGGCGTCAGCGCCACCATGAGACAGCTATTGCGCATGCGTGTCCTGACCAGACACTGCTAGCAAAATCTCCAGTCGACTGCTCCGGGGTGCACTGCCAGCTGAAGAGGAGCATCCACAGGGACACATCTTGAAGAACCTCAGTTACTGCACAAAGTGAGTAACCTTCTCTTTCTAGTGAAAATACACTTATGAGTTTAAGATTTATTTTCCTCAAATAACCTCTGATATTCTCTTAAGATACGTGGTTTCCGTGAATGAATATCCCCGGTAGTGAGCTCATTTAGTAGCGTAGTCATGGAAAGCAGACACACAAGGGGTGCAAGCTCAACCAAAATACATCATTTGTTTACTTAAGTGAACATTCATGAACATTTCTTGGGGTATTTCCATCTCTTTAGATTTATGTACATTGGTCATTGTCCTTGTGTCTGAGCTGCTCGTCTCCATTACTTCCACTTTCTGTAAGGAGTGTTCTGAGAGATTTCTCAGATTTCTCCTTGTATAACTTTTAAAAATTAAATTAATAACACAGCAGACAATTGTCTGTGAAACAAGAAAGACTAAGGTTATTTTCCATCTCTTCAGCAGTTCTAGAACATTAAGGTCAAATTATATCCACTCCAGGATGGGTGCACTGTGGGGCGATGGAGACACTTCTTCTTGCTAGTGCAGTTGACAGTGTTAGTTTCCCAGAAAGTGATGGTAATGGGGCCAGGGCTTCACATTGGCCAGCAGAGCTAGCGTGGTATGGATGGGAGAATACACTGAACTGTTTGAAAGAGTGCTGGAGCTGCTGATGCATTGTGAGCTACGCCAGAGGACATGGGGAATTCCTCTTCAGGTGCCTACTGGAGCATGGATCCTCCCGCCTTCCCCTAATGCAGGGCTTCTCAACCTTTTCCTCTCTGAGGCCCCCCCCCAACATGCTATAAAAACACCACAGCCCACCAGTGCCACAACTGTTTTTCTGCATATAAAAATCAGGGACAGCATTAGGTATTAGCAAGTAGAGCAATTGCTCCAGGCCCTTACACCACAGAGGGGCCCGCAAAGCTAAGCTGCTCAGTCTTTGGCTTCAGCCTTGGGTGGCGGAGCCCCGGGCTCTGGGGGCTTGGCAGGACTTTGGCTTTCCGCCCTGGGCCCCAGTGAGTCTAATGTTGGCGCTGCGTGGCGGCCCCCCTAAAACCTTCTCATGGCCCCCCAGGGGGTCGCCGACCCCTGGTTGAGAACCACTGCCCTAATGTACAAGCAGTGGTTTAAAGCCGTGGGATAGTTGCAAGATTTTTTTTTATTAGACTCAAGTACCTTATAACAGCTTGAAATGTTTAATATTTAATGAACTTCTAGTTCTTCAACTACATTTTGTCTACTATATGCAGACCATATGTTCTTCGACTCCTATTTAACAGAAAATTTTGTAATTACTTTTCCCATCATTGCCTATGAACAAGTATTTCTATTCAGATAGTCTGTATTTATTATTCTCTGCACTGTATACAGACAATCACAAAACTTTATATTTATATTTATTTATAATTTATTTTTATTTTTATATTTTATTTATTTATTTATTTATTTATATTCTATTTATATTTTAGCAGGCCATTTTAAATTCATCAGCAGTGTCTGCATCCCACAGAGATGACATAGTGAAAGAAGACAGAGAAAAAACAAATCCTTTATTGACTGAGACTGAATCAGAACTAGAAACTGAATCCTTGGACAAGCCAAAAGGTACATAGCATAGACCAATAAACTAATATTTCTGTTTTGTCTGAGGAGTTCAAATGGGGAATCCTGTACTTTCTCAATTGACAAGCAGGAAAATCTAAATTGTAGTTTGACACATAGTCCCCTTCTATCACATGGGAAATGTCTTAAGAAGAACCCCTGCTAGCTCTTGGCTTCTTAAATACTTCGTCTCACCAACTGAAGGAATTCATTACACAGATTCAGGTGAGTCCATGATAGATACTAAGGTCTGAAGGGACCATTATGATCATCTCGTCCGACCTCCTGCACAAAGCAGGCCACAGAATCTCACCCACCCACTCCTGCGAAAAACCTCTCCCCTATGTCTGAGCTATTGAAGTCCTCAAATCGTGGTTTAAAGACTTCAAGGAGCAGAGAATCCTTCAGCAAGTGACCCGTGCCCCATGCTACAGAGGAAGGCGAAAAACCTCCAGGGCCTCTTCCAATTTGCCCTGGAGGAAAATTCCTTCCCGACCCCAAATATGGCGATCAGCTAAACCCTGAGCATATGGGCAAGATTCACCAGCCAGATACCCAGGAAAGAATTTTCTGTAGTAACTCAGATCCCACCCCATCTAACATCCCATCACAGGCCATTGGGCCTATTTACCATGAATATTAACCTTGTATCATTTTAACTCATGATTTTGGAAGTAGCTAGAGCCAGAGTAGCATTTATTTATTTATTTATTTGTATTACTCTAGTGCCTAGAAGTCCCAGTTATGGACCAAAACCCTATTGTACTAGGCATTGTACAAACACAAAACAAGGCAGTCCCTTGAAGCATGACCAACTGTGAGGAGGTCTGAAAGTGACTAATTGACCCCCAGTAGGTGGGCCATTGCATTTAATAAGCAGGAAACCAGTGCCACAGTGACATGATTGTGTAGGTTGTGCAGGGCATTCTGTAAAAACAGGGCCTTGTGGAATTGAGAAGTGCTCTGTGTAGAACTACATTAACAAACTGAAGCACGTTAATATGGAAGTGGAAAGAATGCCTGTGATGATTTCAGAATAACAGGTGTAAGTCACTGAAATGACATGGGGGTGCAGATTAGTGAGTGACAGCCTCAGTTGACCCATATCTGTTAAATCAGTGACTTGCAAAGTATCAGCCAGGAATCATCTTACCAATGAATTATTTTTAATATGTCTTATATTTTTGCAATAATTTCAGAATCACATAATGCAGAAGAGCCACCTGTAAATGCTGCAGATGATGAACCAGCATAAACATCAGAACAATCAGAAGAGTTTTAGGGACCTGGCAACCCCCCCAGAATATCTCAGATAGTTAAGTATCAGGTTTTTAATCTTGAGATGCCTATGCATTTTAATTGTATAGGTACCTCTTTCCATAAGTCTCTAGGCATCATAGCAAAAATAACTGAAAACATAATATATGACAGTTCCACACACACAGCTCTAGTAGAGCTTCCTAATCTGGCTGGGCATTTCCCAGACTGTTGTGTTTGGGATCCAGTGATATGGGCCCTGTGTGCTCTTTAAGTCTCCTGAACAGAGTCCAGACCTTACCCCTGTGACAGTGAAAGCCAACAGACACACAGACAAACTTTGCACAGCATTCTAAAACACCATTACTCTTTACTTAGCAACACAAGAGATACACAGAGAACATAATAAGCACAACTCAGTTTCCTCACCACTCTGGAGAGTTCTTTGGACTTGGGCTTCCTCTGGGATGTCCAGGATCCTTCTTTTGCAGCTCTTGGTTTCTTTTTAGAATCATTGAGTACTTCTAAGTTAGCTAGGTTTCTCTGACCTTGGCTAGCCCTGAACTCCCTACTAAGAAAGCATGCACTTCTCTTCCTCTCTCTTGCCCAAAGCTGCCTGTGTCTTAATCTGTGAGTCTTCCCTCACATTTTTATGGCCACTACCAACTTCTAGTTACTTTGTTCTCCTGCTGGGTATTTTCTGATTCCCCTTCCTGCAGAGACACTTGGTTGAACTGATTTCCCTACTTGGGCAATCTCCTTAGCATACCCTTTGGTCAGAGAACAGTCATTAAGGTTCACAACTCCCTGGTCTGGTGGAATCCACATCCTCACAGAGGTGTTTCCTGATACAACAATTTCATAATTTCATAACATCAAACAGAATTCATAAGTTGTACCTAGAGTCCCCAAATAATCACAGTGACACATAATGCGGAAATATTTGGACATATGCAGGAAAATTGTTTGTATTATTATAATAGTGTCTAGAGGCCCCAGCTGCGATTGTGGGGCCCCATTGTGCCAAGTGCTGTACAAACACATTTAAGAATTTTATTAAGATGATGTTAAAATAAAAAGAAAATGGTACAGAATTTAAGTGTAGAAGTTTCTGGTTATCAGGGAATAACGTACAGATTATAAAACAATCCCTGTCCCAAAGAGTTCACATCTTAAGTCCCTGAACCTGTGAACACTTGCAAACATGCTTAATTTAAAAAAAAGACCAACACAGTTTGTGAGAAAGTTTCCTTATGCCCATTTTAACTGGGGCACATAGAGACTCGAGGCCTGGTCTACACTAGAAAGTTTATGTCGGATTTAGCAGCGTTAACCCTGCACCTGTCCACCCAATGAAGCCATTTTTTTCGACATAAAGGGCTCTTAAAACCGATTTCTGTACTCCTCCCCAATGAGGGGATTAGCGCTGATATCGACATCGCTGTTTCGAATTTGGGTTAGTGTGGACGCAATTTGAAGGTATTGGCCTCCGGGAGCTATCCCATAGTGCACCATTGTGACCTCTCTGGACAGCAGTCTGAACTCGGATGCACTAGCCAAGTGTACAGGAAAAGCCCCGGGAACTTTTGAATCTCATTTCCTGTTTGGCCAGGTGAGCTCATCAGCACAGGTGACCATGCAGAGCTCATCAGCACAGGTGACCATGCAGTCCCAGAATCAAAAAAGAGCTCCAGCATGGACCAAACGAGAGGTACTGGATCTGATCACTGTATGGGGAGAGGACTCTGTGCTATCAGAACTACGTTCCAAAAGACGAAATGCCAAAACATTTCAAAAAATTTCCAAGGCCATGAGGGACAGAGGCTACAGCGGGGACACAATACAGTGCTGCGTGAAACTTAAGGAGCTCAGACAAGCGTACCAGAAAAACCAAAGAATCAAACGGACACTCTGGGACAGAGCCCCAGACATGACACTTCTATGCTGAGCTGCATGCAATTCTGTGGGGGGGCCACCACTGCTACCCCACCCCTGTCTATGGACTCCGATGATGGGGTACTCTTCGCCATGCCTGAGGATTTTGTGGACGGGGAAGATGAGGAGGAGGAGGACGAGCTTGAGGAGAGCACACAGCACCCCGTTCTCCCCAACAGCCAGGATCTTTTTCTCACCCTGACTGAAATACCCTCCCAACCCAACGAAGCTGGAGAAGGGACCTCTGGTCAGTGTACCTTTTAAAATATAATACATGTTATAAAAGCAAGCGTTTTTTAATGATTAAGTAGCCCTGAGGACTTAGGATGCATTCGTGCTCAGTATAGCTACAGGAAAATTCTGTTAACGTGTCTGGGGATGGAGCAGAAATCCTCCAGGGACATCTCCATGAAGCTCTCCTGGAGGTACTCTAAAAGCCTTTGCAGAAGGTTTCTGGGGAGAGCAGCCTTATTCCATCCTCCATGGTAGGACACTTTACCACGCCATGCTAGTAGCAAGTAATCTGGTATCATTGTATGACAAAGCCTGGCATCGTATGGTCCCAGTGTTTGCTGACATTCAAGCAACATCCTTTCTTTATCTCTCTGTGTTATCCTCAGGAGGGTGATATCGTTCATGGTAATCTGGTTGAAATAGGGGAATTTGATTAAGGGGACATTCAGAGGTGGCTAGTCCTACTGGGCTGTTTGCCTGTGGCTGAAAAGAAATCCTCCCCGCAGTTAGCCACGCTGTGGGGTGAGAGCGGAGGCATTGGCGCTGAGCTGTTTGCGTTTGGCTAGCAGGGATCTTCCCTGATACCAGCCACGCGGTGGGGGGAGGGGTAAAGTGATCATCCCAGAGAATTGGATGGGGGCAAGAGGGTTAGTTTGGTTTCTGCTGCTGCACGTTAACAGGAAAACTGCAGCACTAAATGGCCAACTCAACGTGCTTTGCTTGGTATGGGAGAGGAGGGGGCTGCTGTTATGAAGGTTGCAGAAGCCAAAAGACTCTGGCTTACCCTGGCCATCTGCAAGCCGAATTCTGTTGCCCGGCCCTGCGTGTGCGATCTCTAACACCAAAGCCACAGACACTCAATATAAGATGCAAAATGCGACCTTGTACCAAAATCACATGTGCTATGTAATGTGAATAGTGTTGTTCACCGTGAAAGAGTATAGCCGTTGTTCTGTAAAATGTATCTTTTAAAATACTTCACTACCTTTTTTTGCTCCAGCAGCTGCAAATGTTTCAAGTGTCCCTCCACCGTCCCAAAGGCTCACTCAGATAAGGCGGCGAAAAAAACGCACGTGCGATGAAATGTTCTCTGAGCTCATGCAGTTGTCCGGCACTGAGAGAGCTGTGTGGAGGGACACAATACCAGAGTACAGGACAGTGGCCAATGAACGTGGGGAGAAGTGGCTGCAGGAAGATCAGAGGAGGCATGATGCAATGCTGGGGCTACTGTGGGATCAAGCGGACATGCTCTGGCGTCTGGTGGAGGTTCATGAACGGCAGCGGGATCACGGACTGCCACTGCAGCCCCTGTTTAACCGCCCTCCCTCCTCCCCATGTTCCATAGCCTCCTCACCCAGACGCCCAAGAACTCGGGGTGGGGGAGGCTCCGGGCACCCAACCACTCCACCCCAGTGGACAGCCCAAGCAACAGCAGGCTGGCATTCAATAAGTTTTAAAGTGGCCTTTTCCTTCCCTCCAACCCTCCTCCCACACCCCACCCGGGCTACCTTGTGAGTTATCTCCCTATTCTTATAATCAATTAATAAAGAATACATGTTTTTTAAAGGATAGTGATTTTATTTCCTTTGCAAGCAAGCTGTGATCGAAGTGGGGAGGGCGGGTGACTTACAGGGAATTTAGAGGCAACCAAGGGGGCGGGTTTTCATCAAGGAGGAACAAACAGAAGTGTCACACAGTACCCTGGCCAGTCATTAAACTGGTTTTCAAAGCTTCTCTGATGCACACCGCTTCCTGCTGTGCTCTTCTAACCGCCCTGGTGTCTGGTTGTGCGTATTCAGCGGCCAGGCAATTTGCATCAACCTCCCACCCCGCCATAAACGTCTCCCCCTTACTTTCACAGAGATTGTGGAGCACACAACAAGCAGCAATAACAATGGGAATATTGGTTTTGCTGAGGTCTGAGCAAGTCAGTAAACTGCGCCAGTGACTGGAGACGTGCTGGGGAAGGGGCCTTTAGTAGTGGGTGGACTTGCGCCCACCCACTTCCTGGGTTTTTCCAATAAGACCCTTTAAATGTCCAAATGCACACTCCACCACCAGTCTGCACTTGCTCAGCCTATAGTTGAACAGCTCCTTACTACTGTCCAGGGTGCCTGTGTACGGTTTCATGAGCCAGGGCATTTGGGGGTAGGCTGGGTCCCCAGGGATAACTGTAGGCATTTCAACATCCCCAACAGTTATTTTCTGGTCTGGGAAGTAAATCCCTTCCTGCAGCCGTTCAAACAGACCAGAGTTCCTGAAGACGCGAGTGTCATGAACCTTTCCCGGCCATCCCATGTTGATGTTGGTGAAACGTCCCTTGTGATCCACCACTGCTTGCAGCACCATTGAAAAGTACCCTTGCGGTTTACATACTGGCTGCTAAGGTGGTCTGGTCCCAAGACAGGGATATGGGTTCCGTCTATCACCCCACCACAGTTAGGGAATCCCATTGCAGCAAAGCCATCCACTATGACCTGCACATTTCCCAGAGTCACTACCCTTGATAGCAGCAGCTCAATGATTGCATTGACTACTTGCATCACAGCAACCCCCACAGTAGATTTGCCCACTCCAAATTGATTACCGACTGACCGGTAGCTGTCTGGCGTTGCAAGCTTCCACAGGGCTATTGCCACTCGCTTGTGAACCATGAGGGCTGCTCTCATCTTGGTATTCTTGTGCTTCAGGGCAGGGGAAAGCAAGTTACAAAGTTCCATAAAAGTGCCCTTATGCATGCGAAAGTTTCGGAGCCACTGGGAATCATCCCAAACCCACAACACTATGCGGTCCCACCACTCTGTGCTTGTTTCCCGGGGCCAAAATTGGCATTCCATGGCATGAGCCTGCTCCATTAACACCATGATCTCCAAATTGCTGGGGACCACGGTTTTAGAGAAATCTATGTTCGTGTCCTCATCACTGCGCTGCCATCGCCTCCTTGCCTGGTTTTTCAGGTGCTGGTTCTGCATAAACTGCATGATAACACGCGAGGTGTTTACAATGGTCATTGCTGCGGTGAACTGAACAGGCGAAACGATTGTCTGCCATTGCTTTCACGGAGGGGGGGAGGGAAGAGGGGGGCCTGACGATATGTACCCAGAGCCACCTGTGACAATGTTTTTGCCCCATCAGGCATTGGGATTTCTACCCAGAATTCAAATGAGCGGTGGAGACTGTGGGAACTGTGGGATAGCTACCCACAGTGCACTGCTCCGGAGGTCGATGGTTGCCTTGGTACTGTGGACACACTCCGCCGACTAAATGCACTTGGAGCATTTGTGTGGGGACACACACAATCGACTGTATAAAAACGCTTTCTACAAAACCAAATTCTATAAAGTCGACCTAATTTCGTAGTGCAGACATGGCCTTAAGTGACTTTCCCCAGGTCATACTGGAAACTTGTAAGGCTGTCAGGAACTGAGCCCACTCCAGAGTCTGAACCATGAGACCATCCTTCCTGGTGAAAATATCTGGAAACTTATGTTGGCAATAGCTTCAAAGAAACCAAAGTATCCTAGATTGTTAAAGAAACTCCCTCTTCAGGTAGCATATATATAAACAATTAGACACTACTAGAATTTTGAAGTAATTGCCCCGTTTCAGTGTGGGGATATATATATATGCATGTATATCTATAATACCTTATTTTTCCTTTGTTTAATGCCCAACAGCTTGCTCAGGCCAGGCAGACTTCATTTAGGGCAGGTCTACATGACCACTTACACCGTTCAGGGGTGTGAAAAAGACGCCCTTCCCCCCCCCCCCCACCGCACGCAACGCAAGTTACAACAACCTAAGTGCTGTTCACGCTGGCATTATGTCAGTGGGAGACGCTCTCCCACCGACGTAGCTTGCGGAGGTGCAGTAATTATGCTGACAGGAGAGTGCTCTCCCATTGGCATACAGTGTCTTCACCAGACACACTACAGCAGTGCAGCTGCATCGGTGCAGCTATGCAGATGTAGCATTTCTAGTGTAGACCTGCCCTTACTAGCATAACAGCCTCTTGTGACGTTAGATATCAGGCTTTGGTAACAGCTTTTTACATGTTTTTTTTTTCCATTTTTTTTAATGCTATAATTGTCAAATTACCTTGTACTGGAAGCCGTTTAAATAAATGAATCAAAACAAAGCTGAGGGTGGCATTGTCTATATCTTTCCTTTAGAAATTGGAACAGAACCAGGGATACATTTGAAGGGTAGTGTGGTTATCATGGAGTTTTGGAGGATAGACTCCAGACATGACATTATTACCCACTGATTAGTTAACAGAGCTGAGAATAATAAAGTTTTATTGTTTTTAATTAAAAACTTTATATTTATTGGTGAGTCATATGATAGCTCATGACAAAGCCACCATGAACGGACGCTCTCCAGCTGAGCAACTGATTGAGTCTTACTCTGAGAATATTATTTTGCCTGCAGTTTCCTGTGCATTTGTATAGTTTTAGCAATGAACGCCATGTCCCAGATGACTGACCTGGGCCCCTTTGGGACCTTGATGGTACTGTCACTCTCTCAAGAAGAGGAGGAATTGATCCTGTTTCGTGCCTTTAGCCTCACAAAAACCCATACATGAGCCTCCAACTCTGTTTCATTTACACAGCCAGTGAATGGTGATATATACATGTCATGGTTAAAGTTTATATTGTAAAGAATTGAGAAAAAGACAAATTTACAGGTAAAACAGAATTGCCTTAATTCCAACTAAATTCAGAGTCACTCCCTGGCCTCCTGAACTATTAACAGGAATTTCCCAGAAGGATCATAGTAGAATAATTCTGTAATCAACTGCTTAGTGATGGTGACATGTTAGTTTTCTGGGATATGGTACTCTTTTGTTGGCCTCATCAACAAAATAATGCCAGGGTGACTAAGTGAAGTTTCTGCATGATAGAGAATATTGATAGATAGCTAAGTAATGGATTCTTATCTGATTTACACTCTTCTTGCAAAGGCTATAACTGGCATAACAAAGACTGTATATCAACATTCTGTCATGTTTTTAACTCTCTCTTTTTTAAGAAGGCAGATAGTAATTCCACAGAGGTGTATTTACATTACACACAAGTTGAAATTTAAAATTCTACATTGCCTTGTGCCAGACAGTAAATTGCTAATCACTGCAAGAAATTCTTTATATATGTTCTGATCACTGTAGATCAAATTATCTAGGTTGAAAGTGGAGTTGGTAGTCTGGTCCAAATGTACATGCAATTAGTTTGTTTTTGGCTGCTACTTCATTGTATGTAAATTTGACTGGCCCACTAATTGATCTATGGACTGAACACCAATAGGGGAAGTTTGATATGTGTGACACCTTATATTATTATATTATATTTTATTTATATTTGAGGGGCCTACTCATGTGAGTAAAATTACATGTATTTACGTCTTGTCAGGTCCATGATCCCATTTAGCACTGAGTTACTGGCTTTAAAGATTTTTATTGGGGCTCACAGGTTTTTTATGGGGGCACCCTGAGAAAAATAAACTTATTCTGAGAAGCTTTTTCACGTGTTAAAAATATGCTTAATATATATGCTAGGATTGTATTCTAGGTGGGTGTTAGGCTTCTCATAAATGTTAATACTGGAACATTTACGGTTTTGGATGACCAACAAAGGATGGGGTAATCAAGTCAGAAACTGAAGTGTTACTGAGAGGGAGTATTTCAGAACAGGCTCATTTTTCCTTTGAGCCAGACGGCTGGCCACATTTGAGTGTCAATATCTTTTGGCAGCATAACTACAGGTTTTTCACACCAGCAGGATACGAAGCAAAGTGGCCACCAGGTGAACCCTATACAACCAATGAGCTGACCTGCTGGCCGACACACAGTGATATGGCATTGTACATCCCATAAATAAGTCTTCCCTGAGACAAATACTCTGATCTAATTCACTTGCCATGATGATAGTTAGGTGCCCTGCCTATGGAAACTACAGGTACTCAGATAAAATGGTGGACAAAGGGCTTTCCTATCACAAGTCAAAAAGAAATTGATTCATATCTATGTTAACCACTGGGTGGTAGTATAACAGTTTTATCCACGAAGTGATAAACATTCATTCGCTGACGTTGTTACATTTATTCTCAGTTAACTGAGACAGATATATTTTCAGTGTCTAGT